CTTCAAGAATCATTTTTCCTTACAAAAACTATAGTATATTCAACTGTATAGAACCATGAACGAGTTAGCTCGAATTGATGACCCAGTGCTGGCCGTCAAGTTCGACTAGGAGATTATTGAGTCGAGCGAACAAATTGACCGCCCTCCGAACGCCTTTATTATCAGCAGAAGTAAAGTAGTCATGCCCAAAAATGATACCACCGGGTCGTAAAATCTTATAGGCCTTGTTTATATCCGTCCAAGCCGAGTGAAAATCATGACCAGCATCGACCTCAATCAACTCAGCGAACACACCCCACTCACAGAGCTTATCGAGAGCTGACGCAGTGGAGAATGGCATGAATAGGACTGACTCGGTGGCATTTGCATAAACTACATTTTGCATGAATTGGTGCATGAGCAAGACATCGCCGTTCACCATTTTTATGTCCCTGAATTTGTCCAAGAACCCAGGCCAGCCCCGAAAATCGTCGATGCAGAGTATCTGAGACTTGATCCCGATTTGGCGAGTCAACTTCGCCATGTGAAGAGCCGACGCGCCTAGAAACGTGCCCACCTCAATTATGGTCTTGGGCCTCACCCGCCGGACAAGGTTCTCAAAGACTGCGCCGGTTGATCCCCACCCTCTAATCCGTTTCTGGCGGAGGAAGGTGCTAACATGCGCAGGGGGGAAGTTTTGCCACGGGGACTTGCCATGGAAGACTCGGTCAAGAACTGTTTGGCGGACTTTTTCCGAGCTAACTGGATCCACGCACTGAAGTGAAAAGCTGTTGTGGTCAGCTACTGTGCCGGCGGCGGAGTTTCTGGTAGTGGAGGACATGAAGGTGGTGGCTGGTATAGTTTCTAGAGGAATTCTTGATGTTACAACAGGTTTGTTTGAGGTGGAAAATGGTGCAGATAGATAACCTAGAAAGTAGGTTATTAGGAGAAGGATAAAATAAGCAATAGGTTTAGTGAACTTCTTTAGGGCAAAAACCACCAGTCTCTTCCGTTGGTAGCGGTGGTGTAGCGGCGGAGTTGGTGGTGGTTCTTGTTTCATGTTATATTCTTTGCTATTTTTCTGTTGGCTCCAAAATTGAAGTCCACTGAAAAGGCCAAAAATATAATGAAAGAAAAATGGAGAAGATACGGCTGAGTTTGTGGCGTATTTACTAGACTGACTGAACTACTTCCAAAATGACAATATGTATCAATTAAGGCCTTAATTTCTTGTTTAAGAAACTGCTTTTTACCTGTTACATACGGCAATTTTATATTTTTTTCCTAAAAATATATAGATAATGAATTTACTCCAAGGACTTCATCAATATAATATATTGTTGGAAAAATTCTTGTCTAAATTTATTAAATTCAAGATAATCATTTGCTTAAATTTGTGATTCTAAGATAGTGTTCAATTATGTGGGCGGTTGATGGATAAGGACACTTGTGGCCCTCTTCCTGATATAATAATTCAAATTTCGAAGAAGAATTTATCTATTTTTATTTATTTTTATTGAAGCTTGTTGGTTTCCAATGAGAATATCCAGAAATCATCTGATCTTTTTATGCAAATTTTTATTCTCTTATCCCTTTCCTTTTTCCTCAATTAGTTCTAAATAATGCTTTAATAAGGCAAGGCAATAAGCTTTTATGATGTATTTATCCTTGACAATGATAAACCTTCTTTTTGTGCAAATTGTTAATCTGGGCTCAAGTTTATAGTTCCTTCTGCTGTGAGAGGGGGGACAACACAGACATTTCAGGAGAATGTCAGATATGTAAACGTAAACAAAAGACAGAACAATATGCATGTGGTACAAGATTTTTAAAAATGGCAAAACTGCCTGTTAAAGAGACAGGGTGACAGATTGCATGATTAGATGTCTCTCTTTGGGTTTATAAAAAGTTCAAGCCTCTGTTTGAGACTGATATGTACAAATTCTTTGTTTTTTTTTTCTTCAAACTCATTTTCGACTACACGGAGTTTCATATACAGCAAACAAGTTCTTATTGGGATACATATGAAACGTGCACGCTGAATCCAGAATATAATCCTCCTCATGTTGCTCACGACCCATGTATATTACCTCTTGTATGACTTTGAATCTTAGCATATTTAACCTTTTATTGGTCCAATTAAAACTTAACATAATCTATATATATGGTGTCTTTACCCTAACCATAAAGTGTGATTTGTGTACACAATTGAGAGAAAACTTGGCTGCCTACTTGCTGGAAAAAAGGTTGTCTGAGTGAAGAGAAAAACCAGTGGCTTTCTTTGTGTAATTGGCGTCCTCTTTGTGTCTTCTTCCACTCGTGCATTTGTGGCTTATAAATCATCACCGTTATCTTTTTTTTTCTTGTGGGCGAGATTGAAGAGCAATCGAGGTGAATATATTGTTTATGGGTTGGAGCCCTTTTGATTAGTTATTTTGTGAAGAAATGTAACTTGAAATTGAGCCCAAAAAATATCGTTTTGACGATCCTTGGAGCGAGCTTCCGCGATCTAGTGGTCGACAAATGGAGGAAGATGCTGTTGATGGAGAAGTAAATGCTCTTTCTGATGGTGTCAATGGTTTAGCTGCCATGAAAAAAATATTAAAATTTATTTAACTCCGCAATCAATATCATTTGTAGCGAAAAATATAACCAAAATCTAGATAGCTTGACAGTCAACAGTCATAACTTATTTAATTCTCTAAACAATTATTTACGAACAACTTATGCCCAATGCCCGTGCCTCACACTATATTTTAGAAAATTGAATGTCGGTATTTTATAAAACTGTCTTGTAATCAAGAAATTACAATTTTCTAAATATTTTAACTTCATTTGAAAATTTAAACTAGTTCAACAAATACTGCTTTGAAACAGCAACGATTATTATAAAAACAAAGGACATTCGAATTGTAGTCAAAATTTATAAATATTCATGCCATTTAATACTTCATATTTCTCGTTCAACAAGCCATGAAGAACATGAGACAATAGTGATAAAGGCGAGATTTCATTCTCCAACAATCCGAAGAAAGTATCCCTCAACGAAGTACTCGTGACGTGAAAAAGAACCTTCCACCAAGGCATGTCATGTCTTCATCTTTTTCTTAGCCACCTACCAATCAACCTATAGCTGGTCCACCGCAAATGGTTGTCTAGGTATCTCTTCCTTTACTGCCTATAGGACTCTAGGCCCTCTACCACAATGGAACTTCCACCCAACACCGTCTGGAGCTGCTGCAGGTACATGTTTTGGTGGATTCTCAGGAATGGCACCAGAAGAACCCATGGACATGGGGCAGAGGTACTCGTGGATATGAAACTGCTATTGGAGACAAAGTTGGAGAACCCATAATCAAAAAGAAGGATGTGGATGGTTCACTTTGTGCCAGACATCAAGGAGCTGCTGGGAATGTAGGGTGTTATGAAACAACCAAAATATTTCTTGTTAAAAGAAATATTAATATGCTTGGATCGCTGTTAGCAATGTTGAAAATACAATAATTATGTATTGTCTGAAAACCACTTGATGAAACCAACCACCTGAATGAATTATTGAAATTATATAGCAAATAATGAAGTATTAGATCAGGTAAAAGAATAAAGAAGACAAGAAATATGGCAGAGAGTTGGAAATGCACGATAATTGAAAGGATAATTCTGCTCAACTGAATTGTTTTAGCATTACATTGGTATAAATAATTACAGTAGTAATGTTCTAGATGGTTAGCTCCTTAAATCAAGGGAGCTGTTAGAATCTATTTACAACAGAATGGTAGTGGCAGCATTAGGGGTGAAACATAATTTTGACAGCAACGACTGATGTGGCAGATAAGCTGATGACAAGGCTGCTGATTGGAATCAAACTATTTAGCTAATCTTGACACCCCATTTCAAGCTGGACGATAATGGAGTGACTCCAAGCTTGTCTTTTAAGAAGAGGAACCTTGAGTGAGTAAGCTCTTTGGTTAACAAATCTACAATTTGGTCAAAGGAAGACACATATTTTACTTCTAGTTCCTTTCCAAGCACTTTGCCTCTGATGAAGTGAATGTCTAATTCGATGTGCTTCGTTCTCGTATGGTATACTGGATTGGAAGCCAAAGCATTTGCACTCATGTTGTCACACCATAAGATTGGAGTGGAAGTTTGCGGCAATTCAAGTTCTTTAAAGAGTGATTGGATCCAAGTTATTTCTGAGGCTGCTAAGGCAATTGCTCTATTCTCAGATTCCCGTGCTTGATCTAGCCACTACATGTT